TGGTTCCCGAAATTTCAGCCCCGCAACTTTTATAGGTCCTGAGATGAAAGTGCGTGACAGGCGCACACACAGACACACAAACGCACAGACACATACACACGGACACCCAGACAACCTCTCATCAATATGCGTTTTTCGCATTGCATTGGTGCGAAAAACGCATAAAATTGATGTTCCAGGCGATCTCGCTATAGCACGAAATGCTGCAAAAATGGGTGATCGTACGATGCATATTACCTATTAATCGGAGCGTAAAGCTTCTTTAGTTCACATTCCCTTTACAGTCTTTGTCCAACAAAGAACGATGGGCCAATTTACGGCGACGTAAATTGCACGCAGTCCAACTTGGTTGGATGGTGAAGTATTTGTCGGAAAAGTGGAAAATGCAGTCAAATCAGCTTGCGTCATCAGATTCCGGGAAATGTTATTCGGTACTTGCAACGCGAGGAGTGCAGTATTTGGTGAACGATTTGCTGAACAATGTACGAGATGAAGGCAGTTAGTTTTCTCTTGTCTCTACACAACTTTGTTTTTGCAATTTTGGCTTTTCTTTGAGCACTCATTTTCTCTCTCTTTCCCTTCTACGGCTGCATTAAAACGGTGGCACTGGCAGTGAGAGTTCAATTGACAGTGCATTTGGTTCTGCTGAATTCCTGAAATTCAACACTTCCTATTATTATTATTGAATAGTGAATTGTCGGGAAATTTAGCAGCTTTCATATGCGACAGAGTGCTAAGCCGTGTTCTGGAATGGCAAGCTGCCAAAATCTCGTTTTATTATGCGTTTTTTGCAGCAATGCAATGCGAATAACGCATATTGACGAGAGGTTGTCTGTGTGTGTGTGTGTGTCTGTGTGTTTGTGTGTGTGTCTGTGTGTGCGCTGGGCCTCTGTACCGATTTTTCATCTCGAGACCGGCAAAAGCTACAGGGCTGAAAAACTTTGGGGACATAATCTGAGCACGTTCGAGCCCCCATCCCCAAAATTGGCGCCAAAACCCGCGTGGTACCCGCGTACGGGCCCCCTCGAGCCCCCGTCCACAAAATTGGCTCCAAAACCCGCGTGGTACCCGCGTACGGGCCCACCAAATTTTTTTTTGGGGTCGGTTCATAACTCGAGGATCTGAGAAGCTAGAAGGCTGAAATCTTGGGGTAACG